ATTTATTTTTTTTTACCAGAATCTACTCATTTAACAATTGAAAATAATATAGCATTAAATCAATTAAAAAATTTTTTTACAGAATAAAATTAAAAAAACTTTTTATAATTATTCAGAATATTATACATATACTGTAGCTTTTTTATAATCAACTAGAATATTTAGAATTTATGAAATATTTATTTATAATATAACAATATTAATATTTATTATTGAATATATGAATTACAATTTTAAATTTAATGTAATATGTATGTCTATTTAAAATAAAAAATCAAAATTAAATATATTAATTAATTTATTATCATTATTAATATAGAATTCTCTTGTAACTAAAAATTTAAAAACTTTGGTTAAATATATTTTTTTATCATCATCATTATAATATTTGTTAATTCTTTCAAGCAATGCTTTTTGAATTTTATCTATATTTTGTGGTATAATTGAAAGTTTATCTGATAAAGATATTTGATATTATTCCATTATTTGATTAATATTTACAATATTATCAACTTTTTCTTCAGGAAATCCCAAAGGATTTTTTAAAGAAAATCTTTCTGGTATCATTAATAAAGGATAATCTTTTAGATTTTTATAATTTGGATCCTTTTCTAATCTTCTTCGTTTAGTTTTTGTTTTTTTTTGTTAATATTCAAATATAATTATTAATATTATTTGTTAAAGATCTGGCTTCTTCAATTTTTTTAGTAGTATATCTAGTTAATAGAAATTTTTTATCTTTTTCTAAAATCTAAATATAATAGAGAACATCTAGTAAAGTTTTTCTATCTTTACTTTTTGTATAAGAATTTTTTATTAAATCTTTAATATAATTTATTTTGATTCTTGAAGTGAATTTTCTTTTATCATCTTTGTTTAAAGCTTTTTTTATATTCATCAACAATCCATGAAATTTGAGTATTTTTATTTCCTTCAAAATTTCTTTGTGGTTTTGTATTATCAATTATTCTTGTAGATAAATAAATATCATTTTTATTTTCATTTTTAGCTAGCTATTTGGGTGAAGATGGCTATCTTAATAATGCTATTCTTTCTTCTCATATTTTATGCAAATTTTCTATTGTTCTAGATCACAAAAGATATTCTTTTTCAATTTCAGTATCAATTTTTATTTTCTATTTATTTTGCAATCTTTCAACATTTGTTTTAATATTTATTGCTACAACAAAATTATCATATAATTTATTATTATAATTTTGTTTTCTTTTAGTTGTTAAATTACCAATCTTTCTATTTTTAATAAGTAATGTTTGATTTAATTTTGAAATATCATCTGCAAGTTCTAAGTTATCATTAAGTTCATATAAATCTTGATAATTATCAATTAAATTAGAAGTGATATCATATATTTCATCTTCAGTTTCACTTTGTATTGTATCTAATTTTCATCTTCTAAGTATATTAAGAAAACAAAGAATTCAAATCTTAACAGATAAAGTATTTGATGAGCTTAAAATAATATAAAAAATGAACAAGTTTCAAGTAAACTAGAAGATAAAGGATACTATGATAATAGAATGAGTAAGATTCGTAAAAAATTTTTAACAAATAATCGAAAATTAAAAGATCTACATATATGAAGTTAATTTTTTTGCTGTTCTGTTAACAAAGAATTATTTGTTATTAAAATATCAAATGATTTTCCATCAAGTAAATTTGAAATAAATACTTCATTTTCAATTTCTGATTTATATTGTTCAAATTTTTTTGAACTTTGAATTTCCTATTTTTGGGTATTTCTAAGTTTGTGTAATTCATCTTTTTTTTTATCATCAAAATATTTAGCATTATCAATAGTATCTTTCCAAATATTTTCTAATCAAGTTGAATCTTTTTCTTTAATTATTCTATTTTTGATCAAATCATATTCTTTTTTTTGATTAATTTTAAAAATTTTATCATTTATACTTTTTAATAAAGTTGATATTTGTATAGCTGTTAAAACTTTATCATTGTTGATAGTATCGAATAAATTATTCAAAGTTATAATATCTTTTGTTTTATTTTTTAAATCAATATAATAACCCTCTTGTTCAAGACATAATTTATTCAATCTTGATATTCTTAATTTTTGTAAATCATTAATTAAATTTAGCAATAATTTTGAATTATTTATTCTTTGATTCAAATTTCTATTATCAATCAATTTTATTATATCAGGTCTTTGAGTTTCTTTAATCTCTTTTTTTAATTTATTAAATAAATGTTAATTATAAATAGAAGAGTTTGTTCAGGTTGTTTTGCTTGAGGATCATCTATTTTTACATCTTCATCTTGTTCTGGTAGGTTTTGATCTGGTAATATTTCATCTTCATTTTGTTCTTAATTTTGGTCTTGATTTGTTTGTTAATTTGAATAATATTGTATTAATACTTGCTCAAGGGCCATAATAATAGTAATATGTATTTCATCAATATTTAGTTTTTTATTATCAATTGATTCAGGATAATGATAACAACAATCTTCAAATTTATTATTATATTTGTATTTACAAGATATTTTGAATAAAATAAAAATTAAAAAAATAAAAAAAATAAAACTTTTATATTTATATTAAAAAAATTAAATTAAATTTCTGCATCTAGTTCATCTTCTTCTATCAGGTTTCCTCCATTACCATTTTGACCTTGTTGTAATTGCTGTATAATTATTTGTGCTAAATCTAATGCATTTTTAATATCAGCATTATATCTATATGTTATTTTAATTTCTCTATCACTAATATATACTGGTAAACCACTTTGTTCTGCTAGAAGTAAAAATTTTTCTCCTAAATAATAACTTAGCATATCTGTAAGATATCTAAAATTTTGTTGTTGATAATTTTGTAGATCTGGTGGTAGTATTTTGGTATGTTTTCTTCTAGTTTTGAAAAATCCTTGCATATAATCAACCACTATAATTAATGCAAAATTTGCTATATCAAATATGTTTTGATCTATTTCATCTTCTTCAGGAAGCATACAAACTTTTTGTTCATTTTTATCAAATTGATAACACATATAAAAATTCTAATCTTTTAATAAACATCCTGTATTATCACAAGAAATTTCTCCATAGTATGTTGCTAAAATATCAAAATAATCTTTTAATTCTGGATTTTCTAAATTTTCAGAGTTTACGAAAATATCTGCTAGTATTATATCATTTTGTGTTTTTTTTGCCAAATCTTTATCACAAATTCTAACAAGATAAAAATTTAATCCTATTTTTGAAAGCAAAGGAGTCAGTAAGGTAGCACCCCCAGCAACAAAAATTTTATAATGATCTACCTATTGTTGATCAGTAAGATCACCAAAAGCTATTTCACTAATTCCTTCTAATGGTACAATTTCAAATAAATTTCTAATTTGTCTAGTATGAACTGATGTAAAAACTAAACGAATTGCAATATCTGATAATATAAGTTTGTTATATTTAGGTCTTTCTTGTTGAAATAATTTCCAAAACTATACACGTTTATATACAGTATCATTATAAAATAATTCATTATTTGCAAAAGTTGCTCCAAAATTTATTTTATCAACTTTTGATTCAGAAGGTCTTTTAACTTGACATGTATTGTAAGTACCTTCATCACCAACACTGCATATTCTGATTGTGCAAGATTTTTTTCTACTACCACCAGTAATTTCATATTTTCGTTTAGATATTTTTGTTTATAATATATTTTTATTACAACAAAAACTAAATTTAACTTGTGATTTCTTTTTTTGTAGTTTTTTAGTTGTTTTTTTATAGGTAGTTTGGATATTTTTTTGTTGTTTTAATTGTTGTTTTTTGGTTTAGTTTTTTTTTTGGTTAGTGGTTGTTTCTTTTTTGGTGCCAGTTTTAATTATCCAATAAGTATATAAGTTTCAAGATTATAAGCTTGATATTTGTTATAACAATTATCAAAAGTTGTTTTAGTGTCAAAAGTATTTTAACTAATTCATTAGATTTATAAAGAAGTATACAGAGCCAGATTATTATTATAAAACAGCAAATATTAAAATTCAAATAGGTAATATACAAAAGAAAATTTGACATTTATTTTTTTTTTAAAAAAAAAAGAAACAGATATTTATATATTATTTATTTTTTAAAAAATATAAAATAAATAATAAAATAAAAATAAAAAAAATAACAATAAAAATAAAAAATAAAAATAAAATAAAATAAATAAATAAAAATAAATGAAATTTATACTATTACGTCTAATTCATTTATATTTCTAATAATTATTTCATATATATTTTGGTTACCAGATTCTGCTAATTTTTTCAAATTGTTCAATTATTTGCCTCATTAAATAAGGAGGAAATTTTTTTACTAAAGTAATAATTGTTTGAACATTTTTTGAATTTCAATATTAATTTTTCTTTTTTCTTCTTAACTTTTTTTTAAATCTCTTTTATAATCATCATGCTCTTTAGTAATTTTTTCTAATTCTTTTTTAATATGATCATAATCTCCATGATTAGTAATACAAGTATTATATAAAGTTTCACACCATTCTTTTTCTTCTTTAGCTTTTTCATATAATTCTTTCCAAGTTTTTGCTTCTAGTTTATATCTTTTTTTATCTTTCTCTAATATTTCAATTTCTGTTTCTTTTGTTGTAAGTGTTTTTTCTAATTCTTTGATTTTTTCTTTATCTTTATCATTTTCTAATTTTAAATTTTTAAATATTTTTTTCCATTTTTTTTTCTTTTCTTAATATAATTTTTTTTTTTTTTTAATGTTTTTTTTTTTTTCTTTTCAGTTTTTGTGTTTTTTTTTTTTTTT